ATGATTTTTCTAGGCCTGCATCCCTCAACATTGCTATTGTTCTTTCTAACAAGGTTTTGTTCATCCGCTCTGCCACTCCATTTTGTTGAGGAGTGTTTGTCACTGTGAAATGTCTTTTAATGCCTTCTTTCTTGCAAAAGTCATCAAATTCTTCGCTTGTGTATTCTCCTCCGTTATCTGTTCTGAAACACTTGATCTTATTTCCAGAATCAAGTTCCACCCGCGCTTTGAAGTTTTTGAAAGTTGAAAACACGTCTGACTTCTTGTTAATAGGGTACACCCAATATCTCCTGGAATAGTCATCAATAAATGAGACAAATTATTTTTCTCCGCCTAGGGATATAACTGGGGCTTGCCATACGTCAGAGTGAACTAATTCTAGAACACTTTTGCCTCTAGAATTTGACGTATTGAATTTCAATCGGTGTTGCTTACTTGTTATGCAATGCTCACACAAAGGAAGTGATATATTTGTTAAGTCTGGAAGTAGCTTTTGCTCCATAAGGACTTTCATTCCTTGTTCTGACATGTGTTCAAGTTTCTGATGCCATAACATTGCAGAATCTGAACTACATGAGGCAACAGAGACTTCTGCTTCTAGCACAGTCTCTCCCTTTAGCATGTACAAGTTTGTTGCTATCTTTTCTCCTTTCAACACCATAAGCGCTCCACGGAACACCTTCATGATTCCTTTACGTGTTTAAATCTTGCTTGCATTATTATCCAAGAATCCGTAGGATAATAAATTTTTCTTTAGGCCTTTCACGTGTCGTACATCTCGAACAACTTTAATCGTTCCATCATATATCTTCAATTTGATGGTTCCCACGCCAACAATCTCTAAGGAATGATCATTACAACTATACACAGATCCTCCTAAGACAAGTTCATAATGATAAAACCATTCTCTTCTTGAGGCCATGTGATATGTTGCTCCCGAATCAATGAGTCATATATCTGCATATCTCTTTCTACCTTCCACAGTGGTTGACACTTCACAGTATAGAGCATCTCCATCATCTGAAGTGTTTGCAGTATTACCTTATGGATTGGAGTTTTTACTTAGACTCCAACAATCCTTCTTCAAGTGACCCTTATTTCCACAGTTGTAGCACTTTAAATTCTTCTTGCTTCTCGACTTTGATCTACCATGTTTGTGACTGCTGTTTTGGCCACGTTCTATTGATCTTCCTCTCATCGTTGTCAACGCTTCTGCTTGTTGCAGATTTACTTGTTTGTCTTCCTTGTTCTTGCACCGATTTTCCTCTTGTAGAACATCAGCTGCAACGTCATCGAAGACTAGACTGGTGACATTATTGTTTGTCAAGTTGATGATGAGTTGATCATACGAATCTGGTAGACTTTGAAGTAGAAGTTTAACACGTTATTGTTCTCCTATTTTACAGCTTAATGATGTAAGCTGAGAAAATAAAGTGTTCAGTGTATTTAAGTGTTTCGTCACTGAAGTAGATTCTGGCATACAGAGAGTGTACAATTTCCTTTTAAGGAAAATTTTATTATGCAACGATGTGGCCTTGTACAGTTTGGTAAGATAATCTCATATATCCTTAGCTGTCTTTTTCTCCTTGATGCTTGACAATACTTCATCTGCTAATGCTAGATGAAAGTTTGCCATATCATTCCCATCCATTTCGATCCATTTGTTATCATCTGTGAAATCCACCGGCCTTTCACTGATAGCTGCTAGACAACCGTATTTCGTCAGGATATCATTCATCTTTAATTTCCACAATGAGAAATTTCTCCCATTAAATTTTCCAATATCAAATTTTGTTGTCATAGTTTCTTTTACGGATAGCTCCCACTATTTCACTATCGTGAATAGTTCTCTGGAGCCTTCAAAGAATGAGTAATACCTTCTTACTTTCTTATGTTGGATGATCTACCTTTTGGTGGCAACCACAAAGATGATAAGCATATATTACACACTCAAATCTGGCTCGGATACCAATTGTTGCGGAAGACGGCTATCGGATAGAGCAAAATCGCAACTGATAATTTGAGAAAATAAAAATAAAGATAAAAGAAGACACAAATTTTATGTGGAAAACCCCTAAATAATATAGGGTAAAAAACACAGGCAACGGTAGAATAATTTCACTATGAGAAAATATGAATTACAACTTCTCTCGATCTACCAAGGAGAAAACAATGACAATTCTCTCTTGATAAAAAAATGAGAAAACAACTCTCAAGAAACTCTCTAAATTCTATATTAGAAGAAAGCTAGAATGCTTTGGGATGATTTTGAAGCTAAATGAGCTAGGATATTTATAGTTGAAGCTTAAGGACTAATTTATAAATACCCTAAATTTTAATGACTAAATGTGAATTATCCCATGCCAAATAATTCAACATTTTACAGCTGATTTTGTCTACCCATTCGATGTATTTATTACACCAAAAAAAATCTGATTTTTAAGCCACAAAAACTGACTTTTGACAATTTTTAGTTTAAAAATTAAATACAGAACTAATAAATTGGTATACATTAAATTATTTTTATAAATATTTTACAATTCATTGAATCTATAATATTTTACATCGGTCATTGACCAGACAATAAGTTCAAACCACGTGTAAGAATGTTTTTGATGACTTTTGTTTTGTTTGAAAGAATATTCAATTATGATTGTTAAAATTGGTCTACAATTACATGACTAAATATTATAGTTTCATTGGTAATATTTGTTTAATATTTTTTCAACATTTAACAAGGCACACACCTTACAGATGAATTTGTTTGAACCTGAGATCTTTATAGGATTATTCAATCAGTCAATTCGGTTACATTTTTTCCTCTTAATCGTTAACCAAATTGATTTTTTTTAAATTTTTTAACTGAATCGAATAAAGTTCGATAATCAGTCGGTAACTGAATTAACATAAATTTATAAATAATATATATATATATTATTTAATATTTAATATTTTCGTTTAATCCGGTTGATTCAGTTAGAACTGAAGTTTAAACCCTCTTAAGGTTAAATAATATATAATATTAAATATTTAAAAGTTCAGTTAATTTAGTTAATTAGGTTAATTATCCGATTTCGAACTGAGTTACCCAATAACTGAAGTTAGAAAAAAAATTTAATCGTTAACCGACCGAAAAAAATTAACCAAAAAAACTTCAGTTCGGTTGGTTAATTCAGTTAAAATCGAACTTTGAACACCCCTAAATCTCTAGGGAGAACATTACTCCCTCTAGCCATCGATATCAACTAATAAATTTAAATATTTTAAACTTTAATCTTTATATTAATATTTTTCATATAATATTTAAATTATATCAACTAATAAATTTAAAAATTTTAAATTTTAAATTTTAAATTTTAAATTTTAAATTTTAAATTTTAACTTTAAACTTTATATTATTATTTTTAATATAATATTTAAATTATTTCAATCCTTACGCAATCTCTTAAATCAAACTATGTTGTGAAACTACTCATATATCGTTACTGCTGATATTATATTGAAAAAAAATACTACTACGTCGTGATAAAGGGAAGAATATTGGTTTGAATTTGATGGATTTTGATAAAATCTAATTATATAGAGTTACATATTTTTTTGAAAATCGAGTTTGAATTAAGTCAGGTCAGATTTTTTAAATAATAAGACCGACCAAAATAAATTTATGTTTATGATGAAAAATATCTGACCTGACCCGACCTCAAATAACAATATAATTATTTTTTATATAGTTAAGTATAGTTATTATATTACCTCTGTATCTTTATATTTTTTCAATTGATCATTGTTTTACTTAATAAAAATTAAAATTATATAAAGATCTAATGATTAATTTTATTTTAAAATTGAATCATAAAGCTTATTTAAATTTATATCAAATTCAACCAGACCAGAAACCCGATCAACCTATGAACATTCTTCATCATAAAACAATGAGTTCATGATTTAGTTAGACACAAATTTACATGATTTAATGAGATACGAACTTCTAAAATTTAAAAAGAACTGATAAAAATTATAAATAAAATATTTAAATTATATAATAATTTAAAATTTTCAGCGAAATGAGTACTTATATGTGCTCTTCCTTAATCCAAATATGGGTTCATGATTTAGTTAGACACAAATTTACATGATTTAATGAGACATAAATTTACTTAGAAGTTATATTTAGATAGTATTATTTCACTCATTTAAATTTTTATATTTTAAATAAAATTATTTTAATTTAGTTTTATAATTATCAATGAAATAAATTTCAAATTCATTGTATTTTTTTAAATAACAATTCAAAAAATTTAATCAAAACACAGGTTGGGTTCTTGATGAAAATAATAACTTTATCATTCAAACTTTGACTAAATGTTATATAGATATAATGTAAAGTACTCTCATCTCATGCCATCATATGCTTGAATCATGTTAATTATAAATATAATATAGTAGGTTTAATAGCAATATGTTCAGTAAGTGTCCCAATTACTTTATTTTTTGACCTAATTATAAAAAGGGCGAATTATACCTTTAGTATCTCAATTATCATTTTTGTTCCATTTTGATCGCTAAATTATTTTTTAAATCATGTATGATGTTATATTTTAATTTTATTTCTGTCATCCTCACTAAAAAATAATAAATTATTGACGTGATATTTTTTATTTTTTCAAGGATGACATGACTTTATCTTATTAGTGACATGTCATCATAACCTTTAATTTTTAATGGAGAGTAATCAAAATAAAACCAAAACTAAATGTTATGTATAATTAAGAAAAACAATTGGGTGATCAAAACAGAACAAAAAAAATAATTTAAATACCAGACATGTAATTTACCCTAGAAAGAATTCTCCAATAATTCCCGCTGTTCGAATTTCGACAAACATTTTAAAAGAAAAAATTCCACCAACTAATATATATATATATATATATATATATTACGTGACGTTTACGATACTAGCGTAGATAAGAAAGATGAGTGCCATAGCCAGCCATCGAGCCGCCATCATCTTCTAAGTTTCTCTTGCTTTCCCTCTTAAATCCGCTCTCGAATCCGCTCTTCTTCTTTGCACACTGAACACTATATTCAAGTACCGACCAGGCTCGGTGAATCTATCGCTCTCTGTCCGAGTTTGTTGGTCTCTATATATGTCGTTTAAGATGGAAAATTTCGAGGGATTTTTCTCTGGATCATCATCGTCATCAACCTTGAACCTTACGAACTTCCTTGGTTATGGTGAAGCTCAAGGTGAGAGGGATAACGGGATATTGGGATTAATGGAGGAGATGGGAGTTTCTGCTGTTAAGGACGACGGTTTAGGCGGGACGACAGGTGAAAGTGCAGAGAAAATAGATAAGACGAAGAAGGGAGGAAATAAAAAGACGAGGAAGCCGAGATATGCTTTTCAAACCAGGAGCCAAGTTGATATCCTGGATGATGGTTATCGATGGAGGAAATATGGTCAGAAAGATGTCAAGAACAACAAATTTCCTAGGTATTTCTTATTACTCTTATATATATATATATATATATATATATATATCCAACGTTTCAGGTCGTAAGAAACTACAAACTATAACGCGAATGCTTAACTTCACCTGTGAGAACAAAAAGGATTAATTCATCCCTGCTATCCTTGAATAAACTGTTCCTATGTTAAATTTATTATCTATTTAGTTTATTAGTCTACAAGTAGCTATAAGCTTATAATGACTCTACATTTGACAATAGCATTAAAAGAATCACTATAAAATTTTTCGATTAAGACTAAAAGAGAAAAACTTTCTTCATCCCTTCTATTTCTCTTCTATCTTCTTATGTAGATAAAATAGACCGAGAAAAGGTTGTCTATCCCTTCTATTTCTCTTCTATCTTCTTATGTAGATAAAATAGACCAAGAAAAGGTTGTCTAATTATTGACGGCAATGCCCATCCAATAACAAGTATAGCATGTGATACATCACAAAGCCTCAAAAATGTAGGAGTCCTACACATGAATTTCATTTAGACCCGTCCATGTACAACCTTTACAATCTAACAACATTTCGTTTGAAGGGAAAACACACTTCTTGTTTGATTCTCCGAAAAATAGTAGAGAAAGTTGTAAACAAAATGTTGGGATTGAAGAGGCTCAAATTTACAAACGAAAAATATTTACCAAGAGGAGCAAATTGGCTTTTTGGGAATTTTAGGGAATAAGGAGTAAAAAGAGATAGAAAAATTGATGCACAAGAATTTATAGTGGTTCAACTCCCTCAATGAAGTTTATATTCACTACCTAAGCTCTTCACTCAGGATTTTCCAACAAATCCACTAATTTGTTCTTTTTTTTTTCAAGGACAAAGAGAGAAACTTTACAAACTCCCTAACTTTTCAAAGACTTAGCTAGAATCAAAACCCCTTTTCAAAAAGATAAAATAAGTAAATAATAAAACCTCTATAAGGTAGGATGTTTAGAAATTAAAGCTCACAGAACACTAATATTTGCAAGAGAAAGAGAATAAAGAGTGAAAGAGCTTTTCTATTGTTGATCAATGCTTGGATAGGTGTTCTAACTCTTCTTCAAGTGTCTTGATCTTGTATTTATATGTTGGAATAAGGTTGTGGCCGTTTCTAGCCGTTGGGGATGATTTCTAGCTGTTTGAGGATTTTTTCTCTGCAAAATAAAATTGCTCAGGACAGAGGGTATCGGTACTCCTATAGGAAGTATCGATACTACCTTTATAATATTTAAAAAAACTAGCCGTTGGGCTTGACGGTATCGATACTAAGCCTATGGTATCGATACTACTATGTAAGGTAGTATCGGTACCTATTTTGCGTTCTGGAATTTGAGCAAGCTGGTAGTATCGATACTACCTTGAGAGTATCGATACTTCTCTTACCTTTCCATATGAGCAATATCGGTACTGTTCATATAGTATCGATACTGTAAGAACAGTATCGGTACTACGTACGTGAAAAACTGTTTTTGCTCAAATTCTAAGTTAATTGGACTTTGAATTATTTTTGAAAACTTTGAATAAATTCAATCAAGTCCAAAAATATTTTGCCTTAATTTGTTATATCAAATAATTATAAACATGGTTCAACACAAAGATTTTTACAATATCTTTAATAGATTTCCATGATGAATTTTGATAAAAAGATCTCGTAGATCTTTATAATTTCAAAATTGATAAAATAATATCTATTATAAACTATTTTAACAATCTTATTTTAAAAAGTAGTTCATATCATTTAGGATGGATCTATTGGCTGGCGGTAACTCTTTATCCAAATTAAAAAGAATGATTGTTTACGACCATCATAAATCATTTGTTCTATCAACAAATAACTAAATAAATGATCTCGAACTTGAACTCAACAATCACTGAAATTCCTCCTGAAGTGATCTCGTTTACCTTTTAAATTCAATTGCATGTATGGTACTTGGACAACCATGCTTGCTTCAGCAATGGATGTCGTGAAGTGTATAAATTTATTCAAAGGAGTATGTGTGAATGTGAATCCTTCAAAATGACAGTAATTCACTGTTTCAAAGCCAGCATGCATGAAGTGAAGTAGGAGCTATGTCTTTGTGTATAACCATCGATATCCGATCTATTAATTGACTAATTCGGATCATGTATCTCAGAAGCAAGAGCGACCCTCACAACCCAATTGAACATTAAAACCTCATTGATAATAAGCTAATCACAGCTTGTTAATACTTTGGTTTTGCAGAAGTTATTATCGATGCACACATCAAGGATGCAACGTGAAGAAACAGGTTCAAAGACTAACTAAAGATGAAGGAATTGTTGAGACAACCTACGAAGGCATGCATTCACATCCCATCCAGAAAACTAGCGACAACTTTGAGCATATTTTGAGTCAGATGCAAATCTACACTTCTTCCTTTTAAATCATATTTATGTTATATTATTGTAATACTCTTATAAATTATGAAACAATTACATATCATTGGATTTAAATGATTGAAATAATATATTAAAATTAGATATGGATTGAGTTACTGTTTCTTTTATCAAAGAACAAGTAGCGCAACAAATGCCATCTTATTATATACTATTACAAACATAGAATTTCATATTAAATAAGAGTTTTTAAAAGTTTTAAAAAAAAACTTATAAAGTTTTAAAGAACGAAAATAATTTATTAATAAAAATATTTAAATTAATATAAAAATTAAAAATTTGGACGAAATCAAATTATTATAAATGTAATGAGAGTGGGAAGAGATCAAGGCATTTAGCATTATATAAATCGAGTTCGTCTTTTATTTTGGGTGAGACTGTGAGCATTTGATTTGAATTCGATAAATTTTGATTTGCTACTAGAAGTCATCTCCTGTAGCCATGTGTTAATATAATGTATAATAACTATTTCAGTAGTACTGCAATTAGGTATACAGAGTGCTCTGACCATCTACTTGAATTAGTAAGCACGTGGATGGAGAAATAAAGGGGTCAGGATTAAATATTTGTGAAATAAAATATCATTCTCGGTTGGTGATGTGTGGTTCGAGAGAACACTGATGGTCTCATAGTTAGTCTTCATAGGCCAGGGTTAATCCTTGAATAAAAACCAGACATAATTTCTAGTTTTAATTGGCTTATTTGCGCACCTTCCACCCTATGAAGGTGCCTTTTGAAGAAGTTTCAGAACTTGTAGCTGGTCGCCGGGTGTTTATACATAAAGGGCATGCCTATGTTGCAATGAATCAGGTAATAACTCTATTAATCTTTAAATCTTATCTAAAAATTTGAATATTATGAACACTAATTGGTATTCATACTTACTATCCCCCATTTCCATCTGATTTTTTTCAGGTGGTTTCTCTTGTTGTCACACAATTTCGAAGTTATCTATCAAAAGCTCTCATTTTGAGAAACAGGTTTCTTATTTGTCCATTCAGGTCTCATGAAGGTTGCCTAATATTCATTTTTGAACATCTGCATTGGTCTTTGTCAAGCATTGAATACGTCTGTTATAGGTTGGAACTTGTGTGTCAACTTGATCTGTATAACCTCTTGCATATATCCCAGATTTTACTGGCTGAATTACATATCACGGCACATGTAGTTTGGACAACAATCTGTTACTGCAATGTCAACGAGTTGCATGAAAAAATATCATTACATGTGTTCTTATTTGTTGGTAATATGTTTTCATGAGGATGACTAGAACCATGTTTATTATAATTTCTTGGAACATATCTAAGCTCTGTTATCATGATCTCCACACTCACCAGAAGAGTCGTTAGTATTCTAGCCATCGTCGTCATTTTGATAGGCAGCAGTTATTTTGGTGCTGAGGGGTTACTTCACTCATCCTCGGTCATATTCCCCAAAACGAGGCAAAACATTTGACATTTTCTTTCATCATTTGTCATTATGCTTATTTGTATGTTATGAAAAAGAGGTTTACCCGCATAGAGTTGCTGAAATCCATCATTTAATTAATTTAATCTCTTGTGATGAACATTATATTGATATTCTTAAAAGGTAAAGAAAGATTATTTATCACATCCAGGTGATGAACTTCTTTTCCTTCTCTGTTTTGCGATTTTTGCTTTGTTCATACAAATTTTATGTTGTTTACCAAGTTCCATTCTTTGCAATCTTGCTTGCAGAAACTGGACATCTACTGTCAGAGAACAGGAGAAGGATCGCCTGACTCCAGTAAGAATTGATATGTGAACCTTGTTATTGAAAGATTGTTTTGTTTGATATTGACTGTATGCGTCACTTATTCGAGAAGGTAAGAAATTGGATTTTGAATTAGGGTTAGCGTTTTTTTTCAACTCTCTTCTTTTTTATAGTAAAATAATTCTTCTATATCTTTTACTTTTCTGGTCAGAGAGGACCATCACTTAAAGCATGGTGGAAGGATGCAATTAGGTCTTTTCTTGAAGGTTGTACTTCTCTTACATGATTTGTCTTCAGTATAGTTACCTGTAACGGTAGCATTATAAAGATCTTTCCACCTGAAATCAGACAATGGCACCATACTCCTGTCTCATCGCTGGATATGCATTAATGCTTGTGTTCAGACATCTTGTTTGTGTTTTTGAGTGTATTGTGGAAACCCGAAACTGATTGATAATAGGTGAAGAGGTTCGGCTTCTATTAAATTTCAGTGGGAACTCTAAACTTGTTTGATATGGGGGTCAATAGTAGCAGCTGTAAATATTGCATGCTGATAAATCATGAAACTGTCCTAGTTCTTTCCTCTTTTCTCATATTCTGTAATTGTTCTTCATTCCCTCTGCTTAGAGTGTTGGGCTGAAGCTTGATGATGCCCTCGCATTTTGGAAAGCTGAGTTTGCACCAAAAGTAAGTGGTTTGCTGCACAGGTATTTTTTATTGTATGTATAGTGCTGCAGAAGTATGTTAACCTTTTCATTTTCTCTGACTACTTGGTTTTTATTGTATGTATAGTGCTGCAGAAGTATGTTTACCCCCCCCCTTTTTGGAACCTTAGGTTGGATTGTAATCTCATCTAATCATGTGATAATTTGATGGTTATTGCAGGATTATACACCTTATTCCTGTCAAAAAATTACCTCCTCAACTCCTGGTGTTGGGGATCATCATGGTTGTCCCTATGGGCATTTCAGGTCAATAATATTACTAGCTTTCTTTATTAAGGAGAGTTTCCTAGGCTTGGTTGTGGGCGGTGTTCCTCTTGGAAAACCTCAAATAGTGTCCTTGGATTGAGCTATACCAGTTTGGTTATTCCTAATAAAAATAGACTTGGAAACTACAACATATAACAAAATAAGTTTAGGCATGAATTTATTAAAATTTAATCAATTTATCAGTCCTATTGCAGATGCTTGATTGTTGTTGATGACATAGCTTAAGCAATTACTATATAGGCAGCTTCACTATATTTTACACCTTATATTGCTTACTATTTTTACAAGACAGTGAGGAGAATTAAAGGGCCGCCCTTGTAAGAATGGGAGTAAGCAGTCGTGGAGTAGAGGATGTAATGGACAAAGTGCGCAATAAGCATTATCGGGTCATAAGATTGTCTTTTTAGCCTCAACTCCGACGTGTTTTTATCTAAAATGGTTTATTTTCACGGAAAATCATAATTGTGAGCAATAATGAAACCGTGTGCACTTAGCATGTTAGCATGTACATTAACATTTGAATCTGTTCATGGCTCATCATGCGATGCGGATATCAATCATCCGAACCAATATTTCATTGACAGCCAAAGGATCCTGCAATCAAAGGCAGATGATATCCTGCAGTGAGGTTCTAATTAGTTTTAAGATGGTGGAGCCGTCGATCAAAAAACACGAAGGCGGTCGACCACTTTTCTTATCCTGGTCTTATTATATATTCTAGAGAAGTTGCCACGTGTTCAGCTTTGCAATGAATGAACCTTTATGTTTTATTTTGGTTGGGTGGTCAGATTGAAGGTTAGTTGTGGATAGGTGGTCTCTCATTACACTAAGCTTTTATTGTCATATGTAAGCATTTGGCATAGAGTTCTCCCTTACCTTACCAACTAATTATTTATATCATACTACTTTTTTATTATTATATAGTTAGATTTGATTGTTTTGAATTGTTTATTACCATCCAAATAAAGTATTTTTCGTATATTTTTTTTATGAAATGAGCACATAATCTCATATGTCCTACACAATTTCAAACGAACAAAGTTCATTGGACTACCTATTTCAAACGACTAGACAATTTCATTAAAATTACCTGTAACAAGCCATGATACATCATTGGCTAATAAGTCTAAAGTTAGGAATAAGATTTCAACACTTAATTTAGTAGATTAATCTAATGATCTTAATAAATAGCATTTAATAAGTCTAAAGTTGTGATTTTTTTTCAATATATGAAAGGGGTAGTGGATCAAATTCTTTGGGTTAGGTAAAATGCCTAATTGGGGTTGGCAATTTATTAAGAAAATTATGCTTTTACCTTTCAGGTATAGTACAGAACTTGATTAATCAAAGCGGATTAGGCTTAAGAAATTTCCATGAAGCTAGAAAGAAGAAATCATTTAACTACTTGGAGGGTCCGGTGAGGCAGAGAGTATGTGGTGCAACACGGTTTTAGGCAACGAATATATTCCTATCATTTAACTACTTGAGTCCGATTTTGTGTTTCCTTTTCTAGATTATGGACGGCGACGCCCAACAAGGCTTCTTCATCTCCATATCAATTTCAAAACCCCACCTTTTTTTTTATCATTTCACACACAAAGAACTCCTACTTTTCAATAATAAATTAAGGGTTCATTGTTATTGGTTTCTTTAGTCTATTAAAAGTTGAAACTAGATTCTGACGGTGATGGAGATTGTTGGCCAAACAATTGGATAATCATCATGTTATGCATTACATTACCCACATTGCAATGCTCCCTATATATACATGAGAGTTTGCCCATCCAACATCCAAACTTAACCATCTCCTCTCATCTTGTTCCACTGAAAGAGCTTGGTCCTCCTGTGTTTCATCGTTGTTCACATACCCCAAAATGGAGACAGCTAAGAAGAAGGGTCTTTTCGGCAAGCTATTAACCAAGTCGTTGTCTCGAGTCACAGCCAAGCCACGAGCCACCACCAGCCATCGCCAATCCAGCAAGGTGGTTCCCTTTTCATATGCTAGCTCCAACCAACCTACTGGTTCCTATGAACACACGAGTGTTCCGAATCGGATTCCGTTCTCAACGCAGAGGGTATCGTCCTACGCGAGCTTCGACCCACCGAGTTCTTCCGACCGGATCAATGGGTTTGCGAATAAGGCTTGGGGTCCTGCAGACGAAAATGTGGACCTCAAGGCCGCCAGCTTCATTTCGAACGTCCGAGAACGTCGTTCTAGCCTCGATAGAGTTGATTGAATGAATGATCCCATGGCAACACGTACCAGTAAATGATATAGAGAATGGAGTCTTTCCGTAAATTGTATAAGCCACTTCTTGCATGCGTTAGGATTAGTCGTTCTAGTGATCATATCTTTTCTCTGAGTTTTGATCAATCTTGGATTTATGTTATAGATTCTGCATGTAAACACTCTACTTTATTTATTTATTTATTTATTAATTACTGTCAAATCTCATTAATTACTACTTAATTCAAATTTAATTAGAAAATAAAAGTCGAATTGAAAAAAAAAAAGACAGTGAAGCTTGAATATATTTATGCTGTTAACAAATACACAAGTAATGGAGCTAATTGGAAAAGCGTGAATTGGTGAAAATAAGGAAGAAATGGGGTAATTGTAAATCTAAGAGAAACTTGGATTTCGCCTAAAAGTTACTTATGATGGATGGGCATGGGTCGGGTTTTTGGTCTACCTGACTCGATCCGACCAAAACAAGGTTTCACCCGACCCGAGAATAATAAAAAAATATTTTTATTCAATAAAAACAGTGACTTAATTGAAATAAAATTATATATAGAAGAGTATTATTGTAATTATTCATAAATATATAAGGTAAAATTATATTTTTTCGGGTCGGGCGGATATTTTCACCCTAAACCCAACCCGACCTGACCCGAACCTAATTTTTTTTAAAAATCTGACCTGATCGGATCGAGTCGGAATCCGTTGGGTTCGGGTTGAGTACCCGTCCCTTTATGACCGCAAAATTCTGGTACCTAAAAAAAAGTACTAGAATGATCCTTATTTACTTGGCCTACATTATTCTCGAAGGTACACAAATTTACAAGAAATTTCATGTTTGATTTTTTAATCAGGACGATAGAGATTCTATTTAACTTAGGTTAATCTAGGCCAAAAGCAGACCTAAGTCAAGATAATCATTCATTTCTTTGAATAGATCGTTTGATGAGTGAGAATAGATGATTGAGATTGATTCATTTTTCAATAAATATTTTCACATTTCTTACTTTTAATCTCAGTCATTTGTTTTCACTCGTCCAACGGTCCTAAATTTGTGTAAAACTAAAAGAATTTTATATTATGTAAGGGATCATGCACAAGTTTAGGATTAGGATTCATTTACACAATGTAAAACCCTTTAGTTTTATACGGATTTAGGATCGTTGGATTAATGAAAATAGATGGTTGAAATTGACTTATTATTTTCTTTTCCAGTAAATATTTTCATATTTCTTACTTTTAATCTCAACCGTCTATTTTCACTCATCCAACAGTCCTAAATATGTGTGAAACTAAAAAAAATTATATATTCTTTTTTGATATTTTAAAGATTTTTATATTATATAAGAGAATCATCTCTCTAAAGTTTATGCATAATTTTGATATTTTTATTGTAAGATTATTATTATTTTTTATATAATGAAATTTTGAATCATATTATTTATATTAATATTTAATTCTTTGATTAAGTTTAAAGTTTATGCATAATTTTGATATTTTTATTGTAAGATTCTTATTATTTTTTATATAATGAAATTTTGAATCATATTATTTATATTAATATTTAATTCTTTGATTAAGTTTAACATCAACGATTGATTAGACATCAGTTCCCCTAAAGAAATTATTAAATTATTCTTATTTAAATGTATAACAAATTATCTGAAAAGAGTTTCTATATTTTCAATTTTTAAAATTAATTTTTAAATAAAATTATTAGAAAATATTTATTTGATGTTCAAAAACAAAGAAAAATAGATTTATATATAAAATTTTTATCACTACATTTAGGAGTATTTGAATATACTTAATTTGAAATATTCGAATATTGATTTGCTAATCTGATTAAAATTTATCGAGTACTTTTAAAAAATATTCAAATTTTCGAGTGGGATTTAGGTTTACGAGTGAAACCCGAAACACAAAATTTTTCTCCCCCAATCCAATTGATTTTGTGAATCAAAACATACATATTTTTTTTTAATAATCTGGGACAAGTACAAAACAATATATGTTTAAAGATAATTCTCAATCATTTGATATTGAACGCTCATACCCTCCTGATACTCAAACCCAAAACCTTAAGGAATAACAACGATTCATTTACCAATAAGGTTGCTCGGTTCGTACAAACATACATATTTTATATTTAAAACTACCATGAATTTAAGAGAAAATAACCTCAGTGACCAAAAATCTTAGATAATATACGATTTTAACCAACTTTTTTTGGATTTGCGAAAATGACCAACCCACTATCGCAAATTCGCGTTGCATTTCGCGTTGCGATAGTTGAAAATCGCGTTGCGATAGTTGAAAACCGCGTTGCGATTTTCCATTTCGCGTTGCAATAGTCTACAGTTGTCGTTGCGATTTTCCAAATTCGTTGCGATTTTCCAAATTCGTTGCGATTTTTCAAATTCGTTGCGATAGCGAAAATTCGTTGTGATAGTAAAAAAAAAAGATTTTGTTTCTTAAGAATTTTCTCTAAAAAGATAGTATCCGCGCGGACGTGTCGAAGACACGTATTACCACGACCACGACCACGACCACGACCACGACCACGACCCGAGACGAGACGAGACGAGAAGAGACGGACGGCGGCGATGGCGCGCGAGAGTCCCCCTTGTTCTCTATCACTCAACAAGAAAGTGGGAAAGCCAAGCCTTAAATACCATTCCCAATAGTATTTCCAATACTATGTGGGATTTGAGCATTACCAACACTTGTTCTCAATACTATGTGGGATTAAGCCTTAAATAATGATATTATTTTTGAATGTTTTGCTTAAAATTGCAATAATCGCGATTGATTGTAGATTGACTTTTAATTATGACATATTTAATCGTATAATATTAATGCAATTGGTTGCTGATTCAGTTGTTTTAAGGTACATGATTGTTAATTGTTTCCTGAATAATCACATTGTATTGGAAACAAGTGTTGGTAATGCTCAATCCCACATAGTATTGGAAACACTATTGGGAATGGTATTTAAGGCTTGGCTTTCCCACTTCCTTGTTGAGTGATAGAGAACAAGGGGAACTCTCGCGCGCCGCCGCCGCCGCCGTCCCGTCTCGGGTCGTGGTCGTGGTCGTGGTCGTGGTCGTGGTCGTGGTCATACGTGTCTTTGACACGTCCGCGCGGATACTATTTTTTTAGAGAAAATTCTTAAGAAACAAAATCTTTTTTTTAACTATCACAATGAATTTGGAAAATCGCAACGACAACTGTAGACTATCGCAACGACAATTGTAGACTATCGCAATGCGAAATGGAAAATCGCAACGCGATTTTCAACTATCGCAACGCGAAATAGAAAATCGCAACGCGATTTTCAACTATCGCAACGCGAAATGGAAAAGCGCAACGCGATTTTCAACTATCGCAACGCGAAATGAAAAAGCGCAACGCGATTTTCAACTATCGCAACGCGAAATGGAAAATCGCAACGCGATTTTCAACTATCGCAACGCGATTTTCAATTATCGCAACGCGAAATGCAACGCGAATTTACGATAGTGGAGATCGCAATGCGAATTAGAGATCGCATTGCGATTTTGTTGGTCATTTTCGCAAATCCAAACAAAAAAAATGGTCAAAATCATATATTATCTAGGTTTTTTGGTCACTGAGGTTATTTTCTCTGAATTTAATGCAGAAAATACTGTGACCTTACCCCCACAAAAAAAGAACCCAGCAACAACTAAAACCAGATTAATTGCTTAACCTTAAACAGATCAAAACAAAATGTCCATAATTGAACAAACCTCATTTCCCCTCCTCTCCTTTAAATGCCCAATCAACGAATCTGGCCGTCGGTATTAGATTCACAATCAATAAAACCTTCCTTTCAAGTCTTTAAATAACTCGTTTATATTTTATACATGATCAAACGTTTGGTGCAATGATAAAATATATTATATTCTTTTTAAAAAAATAAATTCAAACTAAGAGTTGTTATTGTTAAAAAATAATAATCACGAACAATAAAACGATCAATTTTCGTGAATAGTCATATCAAAAAATTTAAATTATATTAAAATTTATTTATATTTGTAAATAATTAATCTAAACTCATTTATATTGCACGAACCAAGTAACTTCACTGATTAAGAATTTATTGTTATTATCGTATATACCACGAGTGTAAACGTTTATGGTCAAATAGTTAAAATCTTTGTATATATATTATTTTATATTTATCTCAAATTTATCAAAAGTAATTTATTCACGTTATTTATTTATTTATTTTTATTGATTAATATGGAGTAAATATAAAACAATATATGTTTAAAGATAATCATTTGACATTAAACACTCGCACCCCTAACATTAATGGCGTTTCAATCCGAGAACTTTAAGAAACAACAACAATTATCATCGAGATCACTTAATTCATGCCGTTATTTATTTATTTTCTGAATATTTAGTAATTTAGAATTTTCTGTTAACATGTGCATTCAGAGGTGAAGCATGGCAGGCAGAGTCGCCATGGACCCAAAAGGTAAAAATTACATTCAAATCCTTTATATTTTATGGAATTATAATTTAGTGTAATTGTAAAATTTTAGTTTGATCCCCTCCGAAAATTATAATTTGAAATTGGCCCCTGTTAAAATTTATTCCAGCTTCGCCACTATGTACATTATACTATTATATATTCCATTCCCATAGAACATAAATTACATAATATATAAAAATAAAAGGAAAATATCTTAAAATTTAAAAATGGGTTGGATTGAGCTCAAGCATTGAATATTAGAATTAGAGTTCATAACTGAGGATCTAAGAACTATTTAAACTAAAATATTAAAGTTGATTAATTATAATTTTAATATTTAACTTTCCAATCGTATGATAATTAAAAATTCTTTTATAATAAAAAACTAAAACAAAATTTTAATTATATTAAAAAGATTAAAATGATTTTTTTGGTAAAAATGCATGAGAGCCCATGTACTTAAAAAAATCAATGTGATCATTGTATTACGTTTTCTCTCCTTGTGGCCCTTAAACTCAGAAAACAAACATAATATGATCATTTGACCAACGTTTTTCGATGATGATCGTTACGGTGTTGACATGATAGTTCATGATACTGATGTTACAGTCCATGATATTGATGTGGCAGTTCACGATGACTAATGATGTGGCAAATGCCATGGCAAATGGACTAAATTGATTTTTTTTGTTCGAGGGTAGAATTGGTTTTTTAAGTTTAAGGGCTTATTTTTTTTTAAAAATAATAGAAGTTATTTTAAATTGTAAATATAAAATTATTCAAAATTTTAAATATAAAAATATTAAGAATAAAAATTAAACTACTAAAAAATTGAATATGCAAATAAAAAAAATACTAAACCTATTAACAAATTTTAAAAAAATTGAATATATATAATAGGTTATGAAATATTACTTATAAATTATTAAAATATTAAAAATTGAATATATATATATGTATATGTATGTAATCAATACTTATACAAAGTATTTTTACTAGATTAATCAAGAATTACAAAATTTAAATTAATCGAGACTTATAATTATTGGATTAGTCGAAACTTATTATGTTTTCTAATTATCATTTTATAAGTATCCACTAGTTTAAAATATAATTATATAATAAGTTTCGACATAAAAGATAATTAGAAAACATAGTAACTTTCAATTAATTCAAAATTTGTAAGTTTCGCTTAATTTAAATTTTGTAAGTTTCGATTAATCCAATAAGAATACTTTGTATAAGTGTTGATAATATGCTTGTACACTACATGTATATATTATGTATAATATATTTTAAAAAAAATATTTTTAATAATTTATAAGGTATCATTTTACAACCTATGATATATATTAAACAAAAATAAATTTTTGTAATAGTTTTAGTATTATTAATATGTATTTCAAATTTTAGTAATTTAATTTAATTTTTGGTATTTTTATATTTAATTTTTTTTAAAAATTAAATCATTTTATATTTAGAATTCAAACAACTTTTGTTTTTTTTTTTTAAATATTTAATAACCTGTTGAACTTTAAAAAATATAATTTAACCCTTGAATAAAATCAAAAAATCAATTTAGCTCATATGTCATGTCATCAATTACTGTGGACTATTATGTCAACACCCTGGATCGTCATGTTAATATCATGAACTGCCACATCGTCGTCGTAATGGTCAACGACTAAAAATGTTGGTTAAAGAGACACGTTGGATTTATTTTATGAGTTATATGGTCACATTAAGAGAGAAAAATAATACAAGATATACATTATTTTTTAAAAAATACAAGGATCTCTGATATCTTCTTGCCTAATTTTTCTTATAACAAAAAATTAAATATATTAGAGATTTATAATAGATTTTAACCTTTGCTTGTTTCAAAGATTATACTTTGATGGCACAAATCAAATGCTCTCGTGGTTAAAGGAATAGTTATTTTCCTAGAAGTTCTGGTTTCGAACACCAACGACTATAATAAGGGTGATTGAGCGTTCATTACCACATAATTAAGAGTTTTTAAAATAAATATTATTTTATAATCCAACTCTAACTTAATAAAAAAAATCATACTATGGTGTCAAAGCATTATTTTCGACAAGATAATAAGTAGATTGTTAATTTTTTTTATAAAAAAATTGGCTTAATGATAATAGGTCTTAATGTATATTTTATATTAATTCAACTTTTATCTTTTCAGTTAATTTTAATTCTTAATATTTAAAATAACTAATTTAACTTTTCAATCTTTTTTAAAAAATCAATAAAGTAATTAATTAAAAATGTTAAAGTTTTAGCGTAGTTCACATGATATCTTACATGACAATTTATTTGTTCATGTAATTTTATTTTATTTTTATATTTAAAATGTTAAAGTTTTAATGTAATTCACATGATATCTTACATGACAATTTATTTGTTCATGTAATTTTATTTTATTTTTATATTTTTATAATTTTAAATTATTTATTGACATGGTATATATGATAAATATGTATACTATTTTTTTATTAATTAGAAAGGTATTATATTTTTAAGATAAATGTCAGGATTTAAACTCACACAAAATAAAACATGAATATCATTAATCATTAATATAAATATTACTATGTTAATTTAAAACATGAATATCATTAAACATGAATCCTGTCACCGTCACTCTTGGTGGGTAATCTATAAATTCTTATGTAAATCCTAATTGGGTTTAGGTATACCTTAGTCATGGACTGAGGGAGCCACCCTGACCTAAATTTTTTATATAAAAAAATACTATAAAAGTATATTTATATGGTCTAACTTAATTTACTTCATTTATAATGTCTGAATTAAACCTTTAAATTTTTCTTAAAAAACTAATGTATCATCTCGTTATATCAATAAGTTGTTGATAGTTACTGTTCTGTAAATATAGTTAATTTTATTTTTTTAAAAGGATTTCATGCCAAATTTAGTTAAAAATATAATAGTCAATTTGATCAAATAGGTAAACGTTGAAAGTTAAATTTATTTTTGTTCTCTTTATTTTCTAGGTTTTATCTATTTATCTTACTAAATATGATATAAATAAGTTTATATATAAATCTCTTACCACTCCACTCCATATATAATTAGGGAGGATTATAAGTTAATTAGGTTTTTGTTCACTCGAATTCGATCAAAAAATTATACTCTTTCATCTGCATTCGATCCGACCCAAATTTAGGAGCAACCCAAAATTTCACTTGAAACTCCTAAGGTTAAAACTCGCACTTGACCCGTTGTATATATAATTTATTCTTATTAAGTAAAATAAAAACCTAATTAAAAATAGTATTGTAATTATCTCTAAATATATAAAAGATAATTATAATATTATATTTGATCGAATTTTTTTCACCTTAAATTTAAATTTGAACCGATCATATTCTTCGAAAATCAACCAAAATCTAAAATTTTAAAATAAAGAAGGGCTCGATTAGATCGACCCGAGTCTAAATAAAATGCTTATTCCTATGTATAATTGTTACTTTATTAAATATTTTTTATATATTCTTTAAGAAAATCTAATACGGCTAAACTTGGCAAAATGGTTGAGATAATGTAAGTCGGATTTTTTTAATTCCCAATATAATCCACCCCAGGGATTATTTCCCCATCTAGGGTGAATTGAACGGTACCAACCTAAAGACGCCATGTGCTCACGCGTCTTCAAGCTAAATATAAAGACTTCACGATTGCATGGCCTCTTCAGGCAAATGAAGAAGATCCTACGACTACATGGCGTCTTCAGGCAAATTGAGAAGATTCCCGGGGTGCACGGCGTCTTCAGATCAATAAAAAACCTTAGTTCAGGAAATAATATGGTGGATGACTTATATAAAATAATTATTTTTCCCACAACCCTACCTGATGAAACCGGCTAAACTTTAGGTTAATTTGTGGGCGATACTAAACATAAGTACATGAACATGATACGTATAGTGGCGGCCAATGAAAGTAGGCGAACGTGGTATGCGCAAAATGGCTCAAAGCAGTGCATTAAATTTGGAATGTGCGATCCTTGTTACTTTCTGGCTTTCCCCCCTAACCCATGTGCGGTGGTTGAGAAACAATGTCCAAAAGTAAGCATTATTGAACTAAAAGTGGAACAAGTTTACTATCACCGAATAGTCTGATTCAACCCAAAGACGGTGGGATCGTATACATTTATGTTAAATTTTTAATTTTATCAATTATCTTATCAAGAAGTGATGATAAATTAGGTGATTTAAATAATTTCATAGACAAATCACTTTGATTTCGAAAATATATCAATCTTTAATATATTAATATAATTATATTTATGTAATTATACTCGGATTTAGTTTTATCGAGGCTCCTAAACAATTCAAATTTAAAAGCTCAATCACTGTGTATTTTGATAATCATATGTGAAGATAAAATTAATTCTTATTTAATCCATTAATTTCGTGTTTATTATTATTATTTTCGAAGATGAAGCTTTTTTAGTTGCTAGTATTTTCAGGGATTGTTTAGACACTAACCATAATTCGCAATGATATTGTCTTCAACAAGAAGCAGCTGGAAGAAGGGTGATTAATAGATTTAACCAGGGATTCAAATAGCGGAACGCAACTGTAATAGCGGCCGCTATTTCGCGGTAGTGTCGACGTCCAAAATCGATATTCTGGAAAATCACGGTGGGTAACGAAATCACGTCAATAGCGGTCAGTTATGCCCGCAATTTAACGGGTAACAGTGTATAGCGCCCATAATGGGATGATATTACTGTTATATACCGCTACTGTGAAAAAAAATGTAAAACTGAAACTTTACGTGTACCGTCGAGCTTCTCCGCCGGTGAAAAAATTAAACAGTAACGACGGGCTTCCACGTTGTAAAAGATGAAACTTTAAACTTTTTTTCTTTGTTTCAGAAAATGAAAGGTCGGGAGGAGTTGAAAGTGATAGCAATTTTTATTTTCAAACAATGAAGAGTCGGTGAAAGGGGAGGGGAGTTGACATATTTGTTTTATTTTTTATTTTTTAAATATAATTTTAAAGGATATATTAATTTTACACTTCTCACCTTTTAGAATTTATAATTTAATCCCTAGTTTAAAAAGTAAACTTTAATTTTTTTGTAATTTAGTCTTAAATTCATTAATCTAAATTTTTG